TGTGACTATTCACCAGCAGTCATTTTCATTTTTTTATTGGTTTGTTGTGAATTTACGAGTTTGTATTAATCTTTTTCACTCAAAATTATCTTATATATGCCTTCTTACAAAATGGACCTCTTGGGACTGGAGAGGAAGCTCAGCAGTTAAGAGCACTGGCTGCTCTTGCATAGGACTCAGGTTCAATTCCCAGCACCCACATGGTACCTAACAATCATCCATAACTTCAGTTCCAGAGGATCTGATGCCCTCTGCTGACCTCCGTGGACATTGCATAACAAGGGTGCATCTACCTATATGCAGGCAATACACTTGTACACATAAAATAAAAATAATAAATAATGTCTGGGCATGGTGGCACACTAGTGTGACTTGCTACTATTATAAATTTTATATTGTGGGACTGGAGAGATGGCTCAGTAGTTAGGAGGACTGGCTGCTCTTGCAGAGGATCTGAGGTTGATTCCCAGTATCCCCACATGGCCTAACAACTGTCCGTAACTCCAGTTCCAGGGGATCTGACAGCCTCTTCTGACCTCCATGGGCATTGTACAACACGGGTACACTTATCTACATGCAGGCAATACACACATACACATAAAATTAAAAAAATAATAAAAGAAATACTATCAGACAGCATAAACAGTCCCCACACTTAGGGTCCAAGCAGGGCGACCCTGACTATAGCCCAGCCTGCGTTCTTTGGAAAAGTTTAAAAAAGGAAAGAGCCAAGCAGGACAGAGCTGGTCCACTAAACTGACATTTAATATTAAGTAAGGGAAATATAAAATTGAAGGAAAGAGCAGGTTGGGGATGCAAAGTCTGCATGAAGTCTCTTACGTAGGCTCTGGTACTGACCCCACCTCTGAAACAGCCTGTGTGGGTCAGATCACCAGTGCAGGTCAAACCTCTGGATTGTCCTTTGTGAGGGCAGTGTGTGTGTGTGTGTGTGTGTGCGCACGCGCGTGGGTGCACATGCAAAACCTGTGTCTGTGTGGTTGGCATCCTGCAGCACTCTGCACAGTACTTATTCCAAACACCCTTCCCCCTTCTTTAGGCACTTTGCAGCCAGGCTTCTGAGTTTAGCACCTGCCCTGGCTTCTCAGAGTACACAGTTCAGGGAGGGACTTAATGCCTCTTGGGTGATTGCCAAGCCACTGACTTAGCAGGGATCCCTTTAAAATGGTTTTTTTAATAACTTGCAGCTTTGGTAAAGAATTTTCCCAGAGCCTCTCTCCCCTTCCTCTGCAGGTTCTCATTCTCTCTCTCTCTCTCTCTCTCTCTCTCTCTCTCCAGTGCTCATTTTCAATGGCTCGTTTTCTGTCTTAAACCACGGTTCTGACCCTCTGCAGTTGGATTCCCTCTCACTGGGAGGACAGTACTCTCTAACTGGGGATAATCTTTCCTGAAAGGACTCTACCTTCTCCTTTTGTTCTGCCCTGCAAAGCTTCCTGTTTTACTTTGCTACGAATCTAATGTTTTTCCACCATTGCCCACCTGTACTGATAGCTGCTCTCCAATTATCCCAAGTCAGTTAGTTAAATACCCAGAGCTGCTGCCCCTGGCACCTTCCTGTGGACTTCTCCCGTGACATACTAGAGAGGACGAATGGGCTCCTATTGTGACTGAGTCCTGGTGATCCCCTGCTCTCTCATGGAGCAGCACTGTCTGAGAAAGCAAAAGTCAAAACAATAGCAAGAGACCAGAGGGAGCACCGTCCAGGGGCGCCAGTGTGTTCTGTACCAGAGGGAATGTGCCTGAGGGCAATGCTGTGGTTTTAGGCGAGCATCAGTGCTAGGCAACATCCTCCTGCCTCTTCTCAAGTTACCAGTGATCAAAAGCATAAAACAAAAAGTACAGAACAGGTGAAAAGAGCATGCGCAGATGATTAGTGTCGATCATGAGAAAGCTGGTACAACTTCAAGTCAGCAAACACAAACTCTAACCAAGTCTTCTTGAAGAGAAGCATTTATGCCATTTTCCCTCTATGGCCCTTGCTCCTCAGCAGGACCAGGGATGCAGAAGAGGGTCAGATGTCACGTTCCTTAAATGACTACGTACTTCTGAGATTTCCTTTCACTTTTCCTTCTTTTATAAATTGTGTCTTTTTCTGGGGACTGAGGCTTACCCTCTGGGGACAGTCCTGGGTCTCAAACATCATGTGTTCATTTTACATGGATGATGTTAATTGTCCGCTGTCTGGACAGTGGCTGGTTTAGCCTTCCCAGGGGCACAGCAGCTGTGAACATTCCCCTGTAGGTCCACAGAACCCAGCGGCAAGTCTCCAGTTCTCCAGGCTGACACAGTTATATGGAGCATGAAGCTTTATTCCAATCTGAGATGCATTCTGTAACAGTGAGGGACAGGCACTCACGCCCTCTGTAGGCTATGAAAGTTCTTATCAACATTGCAAACATGCCATGGGCAATCTTCCACCTAGCTGGCTGTCTCTGAACTAGACATATGGGAGTCGTGTTAGTGGCATGGGTTCAAGCATGGTCACCATCTAGGAATTCATTTTCTCAATCAATTAAAGAATTGAAAGGCAGGAACAATATTTGATGCAGAAGGGAGCAACAGGCAAATAGCCTTTATTGAAAGATAGATAACCACGTCCCTATACCCGAAGAATCACACATCCATGGACACTCACACAGAGGAGGAAACAAGTACTCCACAAATGGAGAGGGGACCTGAAAACCCAGACTTCAAAGCCCCCCACCACAGGAGGGCCTGGGTTTTAATGGTTTTAGGGTTTTTTCCCCCTCTCTTTATTTTGAGCTGGTCAGCTTAAACAAGGAGAAAAGGCTGATAGGTTTGAAGCTTCAAATGATGAGGTATCCAGGTCTACCTCAGTCTTATTTGAACTAGTTTGGACTAGTCCACCTGAAAAATAACCCTGCTGGCTGGAGAGGGAGTCCCCAGGTCTTTGCCTCAAGTCAAGAAGGAGATGGAAGTGTGGTTGCTGTCTTTACTATTCATTAGTGACCCTGTTTGGTTATTAGAGATTTAGTCCCTTATACTTAAGGGTCTGGAGCACCAGGAGAAAGTATTTTAGAACCAACACTGTCCTAAAATGATGCTCTTGTGTGTGTGTGTCAGATGTATAAACAGCTGTATAGGCTATGGTGATATGAAGCAGACTTCAGAAACCCTACCAACTCTAACATCCTCAGAAACGAGGTCTTTAGGCTGCTTGACACTGCCACCAACCTGGGCATGTGAAACACTGGATGGACCTTATTTTAGAGCCAACAGGTAAGACCTGCGATTTATTTAAGGACAATGCTTTAGGATGTATAGAGAACAGGGTAAATGTGTTGTTTTCTTGTTTGTTGAGAAATCCATCAAACTTTCCTCAAAATTTCAGCCATGTAAGCCAACAGGTCTCCATTTCAACTCACTGACCAGTGACAGCAGAAAAGCTTTTCCTCTGGAAGAGCCACAGTGTGCCAAGTCAAAGAGATTTAGTAGACACTCTTTTCCCTCTGCAGAAAATGTGCTCCTATAGAGATTTTTCAGCTTAGCTATTTTTAGCTACATGAGACAGAAAGACTGTATAATTGTCATAAAGATGTCAGCTGGTCCCAGCTTCCCCAGGCACCTGCAGGAATGTTTCATCTGACTAATGACACAGTATCTGCATGTGGAGACCATTGCACATCTTCCATATGCAGCCATGAAATATGAGTTGTCGGTGCAGCAGAAAGTATTTTTATCAGTCAGTGGCATTGGCCCAGGGGAGTTCTAACAGCTAAAATAGAAACGAGAGCTTGTATGAGATCAGCCTTTGCTTCTCTCCACTATAGCCTCCGTCTACAGTAAGAACAAAACAGGAAAACTGTAGTGATTGTTGTGGACAGGCCACAGGATGCTTTATCCAACAGTCACAGGCTGGGAGCCTTGATAGGCTCCTGGACAAACCAGGAAAGGCCCGAGCTTTGTGAACTCCTGTGGTCTTACTGCTGAGCACATGAGCTCAGAGTGAGGATGTGAGGTGACTGTCGGGGAGTCTGAGATCTTGTAGAATTCTAGTGTTGTCTCCTGGGTTATCCAGCCATTATCAATGAATGTGGAGATGCATTGTCTATTTGGAATTTCACTGTGTTTAGGAGTGTGCTGCTGATCATGTGTTTCACTAAAATTTCCCCTCCCCCTTCTTGGGAGACCCACGCATGGGCACCCTCTGAGGTCCCAGGCCCACAAACCACAGAATACCTTCTATTTGGGTTTTGCATAGTTTATGACCTCTGGGAGGGGGTGGCTTACAAAGGCATGAATTCCCGTAGGCTTTTTCTTCTCCATATTTGAAATGTGTGAGCCAGCAGTCTCCGCCAGGTTTTCACATGCTGCTTCCCAACTGACAAGGGCTCCTCCCATTTTTCCCAGTCCACTCAGCATTCCTCAGCTCAGTATCTCTAGACCCACCCCCTCTGAGTCTTTGGAGGTTCAGTTCTAGCTCCTAGGAGGACCCTGATCCAACATCGTGGCTGATGTGGACTCAGGGGAAGGGAAGCTTGGCTTGCTCCACCATCCCAGGAGGCAGGTCCATCTCTCAGGACCATGGATTACCAGTACATGGTATTCAAGAGCAGAAGGGAAGAGCTCAGGGTTGGGGCCAGCGAGGGCTCCTCAGCATCTAACATAATACAGGTGAGACTTGGAGGGGGGCATCTTCCCCCTGAAGGCTCAGATGACCCCACTGCCTCCCAGTCACTCCATGGTCAGAACTCAACAGGATCATGTGGTCACAGTGTCTACTGAGCGCTGGGTGTACAGCAGTGAGGGACTCACCCTGGAGTCAGGGAAGACTGCTCTGAAAACGGGAGGAGGCTTTGAAAAGTGCTAACACACCAGCCCCCGGGTGCAGGGCTCTCATCTCTCTGAGATACCTGAAGTCTTTGCTCTGAAGACACGGAGACTGGCCCCACAGTCTCCCTAATGCCCGGTAGGCATCTCGCTGCTCCCCAGCCACACTGAATTCTGTGGACAGTCTTCTTACTCAAGCTGTGATACCTGGCGCTACACTTCCTTTTCCCCATGCTCTTCTGTGTGGATGCTAGACTCGAAGCTAGGCCTCCCTCCTCACACATGACCCGTTCTGCACTCAGGTTCACGAAAGGAGAAAGATGAGGGGACAGAGGGAAGTGGGATGAGGAAGAAATGCAGACCATCTCGCACTCTTTGTTCCTGCCCTGCAGAGTTCGACATGTTCCGCATCACGGCTGCGGGGCTGAGCGGCTCCATCCTTCGCTGCCTCCTTACCCCGTTTGTCTATACCTACAGCCAACACTACCAACAAATCGGACAAGCACGACTCAGGGGAGGCCATCAAGGTCAGGAATCGGACACTAAGAAGGCAGGTGACCCTGGGGCTGCGGCAAGACTCGGCGGTGGGGGAACTGCGCATAGGGTAAGGGGACCTTCTGTGATGAACTGCCTCTAGCTTTGCCTCGCCTGAGAAATCATGATGTTTTGCCCTGGGTACCTAGGTCATGGAGGAGCAGGGAGAAAGACAAGAAGTAGAGCCTTTTCCTGGGTTTGGTAGATGGCCGACGTCTGGCTTTGGTCCAAAGAGTGGCAGGGCTGGGGGCGAGGCTGCCGCTTCAGAGGCAGCCTCTAGATGGTGGTGTGGGACAATTTTTGTCTGCTCAAATTGTCCCTTCAATTTTTTTTTTTTTTTTTTTTTTAAGTGTAGAAAATGTTCTTTACATAATATAGGGCGACATTTCACATTTCTGGTCTGAGATGGAGTGTTTTGTTATTTTCTCCACTGGACAGTTAAAGTACTCTTTTCAAAGCAGGTGTTTTGTGTCCCTAAGTCCCAGGATGAAGGAAGGGAACAGGCGCCAGCTTCAGACGCAGTGTCGGGATAAATGGGGGCCAGTTATTCACACTAACCTCCATTTCTTCACCTACGGCCGGGGGAGATAATGATGCTATCCTACCAACACTGTTGTGGGAGTTAAATGAGGCCATTTAAAGGATGCATTTAGCAGCACTGGACATGAAAGTGCTTGTTAAACAAAGGTCTCCCCCGAGGGAATGGGGTAGGGTGGTTAGATCAGAAGCCTTAGAACAGACATCCTGTAACTGTTACTGAGTGGCCCTGGGAAGATCATTAAGTTTTTGATGTCTCAGCTTTTTCATACATAGAACAGACAGAACACTGTCTTTCCATACTACTCTAAGTTTTAAATACGTGAATAAAGCTTTAAGTGGTCCATTGAGTCTAGTGTTCGGTGTAGTGTGGCTGGGATTCGTGTTTGCTCACACAAGAGGTTCCAGGGCCTGAGAAAGTATCAGATGTGTGTCCAGTCCCTGCCGTGACACACTCAGGTGAAAAGGCTGCTTCTAAAGCCCGTAAATGAAATATGGTATTATTTGTTGCATGATATGTCCTTTAAATCCTTAGAGAATGTTTTGATGCCCTCTAGGCATTCATTTTACAAATTGGTGATTCTTCCAATCTGCCTGCCTCTGCCTCTTGGGGCTGATTAAACTTGAATCAAGAATCTTTCAGCTTGTCTCATGATTCAGGTGAAAGCCTGGGTTTGAAACCTTTTGAGTGAAAAGCATACCACTCCTGGTCCCTCCTGGTCCCTCAGAACAGTTCCCAAAGTGAGCAGAGGAGGAAAATCAACCCAGTGTGCATAGAATTTCCCATTTTAACGGTGAAAAATTCTTATGAAAGTCCAAAATGAATTTTTGGAACAAGAAAAGCAAGATTTATCTAAATGTTATTTATCTAAATGTTATTTATCTAAATGTTACACCGACAGGGTTACCGGGATTGCAGATCTATGGACTGTCACTCGGGCAGTCCTTGTACGCCACTGAGGTACAGAGACATTTTAGGCTAAGAGAAATCTTGCTGCTACAGGGCCAGAGGAGGGTGATGGTACCAACCCATCACCTGATCATTCACAAATCTTTGAACATTATTCCATCCACGAATTAACCAGACCAGACCCTGTTTAGCTTCTGAGAAGCAAAGAGCCTGGGCAATCTGTGGGATGGTGCATATAGACTCTTTCAGAATGTTCTCTGCCATGTGACCTGAGTCAGACCTCAATAGACATCTGTGCCAACAACTGTTTCTCTTCTTCAAAGATCTCTCAGTACAAACCTTCAGCTGGTAAATGTGAAATAATTTGAAATTTCAGTCACTATCTTGAGCGTGGCGAAGGAAAGTTAGCCAGAAACAGATGCAACAGCGTACAAGCCGAGCGATGCTACTATACTTAACTGTTCTTGAGAATTTTATGACAAATGCAGAGAAAACGACTAGAAAAATAGGTAAACGGCCGCCAATCTTCAGATAAGTCTGAAGAGAAGAGAATAGCCTGGGGTTAAACAGAGGAGAAAATGAGTTTTTCCACGGGGAACCTTTGTAGAGAGCTCCACATTTTTGCCAGTCTCTGGTGGAATCTACTGATCGATATCCTATATGTGCCTCCTCAGGAATTTGACAAGGCAACTTTATTTTAGAAGAAAGAAATAAATGCTTTATTCACACTTCAGAGAAAAGCACATCCCGGGTCTGCTTGACAGGTCTTGATCACGCCAATGAATGCCAGCAGCCTCTGTGGTTTTGGTCTCATAATTTCCTGTGCCCCGAGGCCTGAGCTCTGTGACTGTCCTTGTTTCTCAGGCCTCACAGATGAAGCTTCGTGCATTGCAAGCACCCTTCAAGCCAGGAGTGCCATCCTTGCCCAAAAGTCGCAATCCTTAAAACAACACAAATCTGTAGAACACACAGTTAAAATTCAGTTACAGTGCAGTGGGGGCTGGGTGAGCTGGGATGCCTGACTGCACAGTGTGAAACTCAGAAGTGTCTTCAATCAACTCTCCTAACAAGTGGATTCTCTTCTGTTTCTTTTGTTTTCTGTTCTCTTTCCCCTTCCTTCCCCCCTTCCAATCTCCCCTCCCTTTCCTCTCCCCTCCCCTTCCTTCT